GAGAGAGAGAGAGAGAGAGAATGAGCGGGGAAGGGGCAGAGAGAGAGAGACACAGAATCTGAAGCAGGCTCCAGGCTCTGACCTGTCAGCACAGAGACCGACGTGGGCCTCCAACTCATGGACTTTGAGATCATAACCTGAGTCAAAGTGGGATGCTTAACCATCTGAGCCACCCAGGCCCCCCAATGGCAATCTAAAATTTTAAAAATATATTCGTCGTGTTGTATCTGTGTTAATTTATATTCTTGTTAGAGCCCTAGTTCAAAGAGTCAATGAAGTTTCTTTCTTTCCTAGCAGTCTGAACACTGCTGGCCTGCCTGTGTGTGTGTGTCTGTATGTAGCCATTTATTTATTTCTCACTAGCAAGAACCACCCCTCCGCCTTTCCTAAAATATGGGGTTTCTTTGTTGTACTGGAAACACTTTTGAAAAGCTGAAGATGATGACAGTCTTTTAACATATTATTCATCGCTTAAGAACAGCAGATTTTGGACGGTCTTTAAAATAGGGTCATTTTGAAAGAAGAACCAGATTTGAGCAAAATGACACGTTCTACCGGAATTGGTTCCACAATTTAAAGTTATCCTGGAGTTTGTCTTTCTCCCATAAAGAAAACAGGCACCCTGGCCCCTTTGTCCACAGACAATAGCCCTCAGCAATTTCTCTAAGTACCTTTAAAAACCATCTTCACCTTGGTAGGGGGATTCATCCCATGGGAGTAAAAAAAAAAAAAAGGAAGTCCTGAGAGATCTGGTCTTTCTTTGCTGTGGGACAGCATTGCAGAGAACAGGCATTTACTACTAAGACACAAGAGTTTTCCTATGACTGCTGCATCACGAATGATAGCAGCACACTTTTCCTTTTCTAGATAATGTGGTAGAGAAAGGCCCTCCCCAACCCCAGCCTATAAGAATTTCTTGAGGCTGGAAGAAACAATCCCACAGTTCCTTTTTTCCTTGCGTAGGATTTGCACATTTATAGAGCACATTCACATGCCTTATCTGCTTTAATCTCCTAAGAGGTAATTATCCAGTTTAAGGCATGAGGACATTTCAAGGCAGAGGCACAGCCAGCTGGTAGAGACAGAACTGGAACTGGAATCCGCACTGTTTGATTCTTCTCTGTCCTTTTTCTTCTATACTCAGGGTCCTAACACTATGACCCGCAGGCCAGATCCAGCTGGCCTCCTGGTTTTACAAATAAAGTTTTGTTGATGTTGCTGATGGCTGCTTCCTCACTCCAGTAGCAGAACGACATAGTGCAACAGGTGGCCCTCAGATCCTGCGATATTCACTCCCTGGTCCTTTGCAGACAATGCTCACCCACCCCAGATGGATCCTGAAGCTAAGAGATTCAGCGTCCTTCATGGACCAGTCCCTTTCTTGGAGAAGAGACAGGGGATTGGGTGATTGCGGGCATCTCTGTGTGTCCCCCCGAGAGCTGTCTGATCATCAAGACGTCTATAACATTTTGTTCTAATTTAGCAGGTTGGGATAACCGAGCTCTTGAGGCTCTCACAGAAAGACTTTGCCTTAAATGCTGCAGGAAGAAATCACATGACAGGAATCATTTTGTTCTGATGGTGTTCCTGCCGGTAATGGAGTGGCTTCAGGGTGCAGAATGGATGAATCAGCGGAATATACCCTCTGTGGTTTCTTCTTGTTATTGGTCTGGAGGAAGACCATTTTAGAGAAGCAATGCTGGCCTTTCCAAACAGATTATCTCTCTAAACAAGAAGTTTGGGGTCAGTTGCAGTGCATGGGAGAAGTGATCGTATAATTCTTAGGACCCTGCTTCTAGACTGTTCCTTCTGGCCCTTCTCCATCTCTTTTAGGTAGTTTCCATGATCCCCTCCTCTTTCTACCCTCTCCTCCTCACTGGTCTCCTCCATTCCAGTGGTTCTCCCATCCCTCCTCTGAGGATCCCTCCCAGTTTGCTCCGATGGGCTCCTGTAGAAACGATCACCATAAAGGCAATGTCTGCAAAGCCTACCACCGGGAGGATCTGTCTTCTTCTGGCCCCCTAATGTATTCTAGAATTCCGTTAATGTTTAAAAAAACAGGTTTTAAAGGCCACTGCCTAGAATTGTTTTGTTTTCCTTGAACGTCTTTTTCTCCATTTTTAATAACTTGCTGCCTTGGCAGGTGCTGTTCCAGTCGGTAGAAGAACCACTTCTTTGAATTCCTTCTCCCCAGATGCATTCTTGCTCCCTGTCGATGTAGAAAAGGTGAACACATTTTTTTTTCTTTAAAACACACACACACACACACACACACACACACACACACACACACAGAGTGTAAATCCCTTAGATAGTGTTGTTCTGATTTAAATCTGGAAACTTCACTTGATGAAGGGTGGCAAATAGGTTTCGTTTCAGCCTTTGGCTAGCACAGGCCACCAGGAGCTAAGGAGGGCTCTGAGGCAGCCCCTGTGCCCAGCTGGGAAGTTTTCCATGATTGATGCATGGGTCTACCATTGGGCCATGCACCGTGTGGGGTGTATATCACAGTAAATTCAACTTAGCTTGATTTGGGTCTCAGTGGGCTAAATTTGATGTGTCTGGAAGATATGGGCTGTACCTTATGTGATAACTCAGTTAAATGAACACCTTAATTTTTTTTAATGTTTATTCATTTTTAAGAGAGAGAGAGAGAGAGACAGGGTGTGAGCTAGGGAGGGGCAAAGAGAGAGAGACACAGACTCCGAAGCAGGCTCCAGGCTCTGAGC